ATGCTTTTAATGTATCCCTTAAAGAGCCTAAGTACATCAATAGAAATTTGAAATGTATGACATCCAGATTACTGAAAATAAATAAACATACATATGGCACCCTTCAAGAAAATCACCTAGCAAGCAAATCAAACCACTAGCCTAGCCTAAACTAGAGTTGGTTATCCTAACAAACCCTCTATGTATGAGTAGAAAGATTATGTGGCTTGCATGATTCTTAAGTTTTATTTGTTTTAATTTTTTTATAAATTAAAGAATGGTTTGTATTTAAGTTTTAATGAATTTGAGGTTCTAAATTTCTTTTAAAGATGTTTTGATTGTTGAAATTATTTAACTTTAGGTTTTAAAAAATATATCATTCAGTAACTCCTAAGTACTAGAAGTTGTTGATCAATACGTTCTAGACTCAAATGTGTAATGCTACCAATCATCCAAGACTTGGGTATATTGATATCAATCCAATACACTTTTGCCCTCCTAATAGGAGAAAGCACAATGGTATGAAAATAAATAATGTCTATATGTTTTATTAATGATTTTTTATTTGATTTTAATTTATTATTTATTAAAGTTTATATTTTTGTGTTTACATTCTTTTAAATTCGTTCGTAGCATTGTCACAATGGGCATGAGGACAAATGACCTCCTTAAGATACGTAGTCCCATAACTCAAGGTAGTCCATCCTAAAAAACTTTAATGATAAGAATGTTGAATGTTTATTTAATGTTTTTTTTTACTAATTTACTTTTAATGGATTTATGATTTATAAAATTTTTAAAGATTTACTAATTTATCATATTTTAATACATTTAAAGTGGGGTCTATTTCTATGTTCTTTAATTTTTACTATTTTCTAGAATTATTATATTTTTTATAAATACTAGACCTATAGTTTAGCCAAAAACCTTTGAGTTTACTGAATTTGTAATTTTTTGAAATGTGTTATGGATTTTACAAGTTTAGTGTATTTTATATATTAAATTTGACCCAAATGTTGTTTATTTTATCAATAGTGAATTTTGAAGCACTTATTTTTTCATAAATATTAGACCCAGAGATGAGTCTAGTGTCTTTAAGTTTGCTCAATTTAAAGTTTTTTGTAATTAGTTATATATTATTGAAGTTTGAAGATTTATTAGATTTATTTAATTATTTAATTGGGGATATTTTCTAATTTCTTTTACTAGAATAACTCCAAACCTCTTAAAATTTATATATATATATATATATGCTTCAAACCCATTAAATTTGGGCTCATCAAAGCCTCCCATGGTTGAAAAATTAATCACCAAATCTAAATATATCTATAGCTTTCGTGATTTATTTTAGTATTTATGCTCACTAGATTTTGGTGAAATAAGTGGTAAAAAAACCCTAACATACATATAAAAACACCATAGAAAAATGAAATTCTAATTCTAAGTGCATGGATAGTTATTAATATTCAAAGTTATGGGTACGAAATGAACACAAACTTGAAAATTTAAATCATAGAGAATCTGATAAAACATAAATCCAAGAAAATTAGGATTGTTTAAGAATGCGTATGAATATATACCATCCATATTTGAGGTCCCCTTGATCATTAGATCTTCATAAATTCATGAAAATTTGAAAACTAACATCTCTAGCTTTCTCACTCACAATATATTGGTCAAACAAACATGGAAATATTTTAAAAATAAACTAGAGCTCAAGATCTTTCCAACAAGTACAATAACACTCAATTTGGATTTTAAAATATTTTTTATGATTTTCTAAAGGTGTGGGTATTTAAATTATTATTTTTTAATTTATTTTAAAATTTAAAACTATGGTGGTAATTGTTACTGCTGTTTCCTAGTGTTGAAACCTGTCGGGACATGGGACAGCCTCACTGTAACTTAACCATGTAGGCAATGAGTTGTGATCATCTAATAAATTGTGCATCAAATGAAGGGCTATGATGCGGCCACATATGTGCCCATGGAATGGATTGGCGATTGTTTGAATCCCTAGGCCATTATGCACGTGCGGTCTGATGATCATGGTTATCAGATCAATCGATCATATGGCAAAGGTTGAATAATTAAAAATAGTTCAAAATGAATTAAACTTTCAAATGCTTATAACTTTTGATCCAACCTTTTAGATTTAACGAAAATTTAAGTAGAGGGTCATGGGAGCCTAATCTGTTAATCCCAAGAGTTTCAAGGCATTATGCATTGAGATTTAGGAGAAATTCTAATTTGAATTTTAAACTTCAAGAAAGGATAATTCACCAACCTATTGATGGATTTTGATGATCATGGTCTTTTAGAAAGCTTAATATATCCTCTTTAACTTCCTAGAAGTCTCCAAGAGCTTATTTCCACTAGATCTAAAATTGGATATGAATTCTCCTTTCTCTCTTTTTATTTCTATCTCTTGCTAGTTTAGAAACTTCGTGAACTATGAAAGATTGGGAAGAGCTAAGGGAGAGCTAAAGAGGTTATTAGGGAGATGGGGAATCAAATTGATCAACCCTTTATTTAAAGGAAGAAGTGGCATTTTTAAGAGAGAGAAATTTTAATGGAGGGCTTTGATCTTTCCACCTAAGCCATGGCCCATCTCCTAATAAGTTTTGGACTAACCAATGGGGGCTCAAAGAACATTCTAGATAGTTTAAAAGCATATGGTTGGTTGTTGAGGGAGTTAGCTTGAACCAATTATTTGAGAGTGGTTATTGTAAACATTATTGGCACACCAATAACCTATGTGACATGATCTTGACATGGCCTATTAGGAGAATGTGTTAAAGTGTATACAAGCCATTGGTTAGGTTCAAATTGGGTTGGATTGGTCTAGGGTCCATAATATGGGTTTTTGAGAGCTTGGTTCAACCCTTTCTTCTAAACCAAGTCAAACTAGGGTTTAAACATTGGGATGCATGCATGGGGTTAATACACACTTGCTACAATAATTTTTAGAATTTATTTTGATAAGGGTACTAATTTCGATCAAGAAAACTCCTTTTTTAGCACTTGGTTCATACCCATTGGCCAAACCATGTGGGCCCAAGGGCTATAAATGTTTTAAGAGACTCATGTTTATGGAAAAAAATTAATGTTCAAAATACAAATATCACACAAGATTTTCTTTAATTTATATTTTGGGTTTCTCTAATAAAATCAACATAGATTAATATTATACCATCCCTAAGGATGAACTAATATTTTACTATCAATTTTAGAAGAGAAACTTTCCATTCATGATTGAACACTGCATAGGAATATTTAATTATCCCTGATGGACAAAAGAAACATTCACATATTGTTTCAATTATGTTATTAATCCAATATTATAATGCCTAAGTTTGCATTGCACAAATCTTTACCCTACCTTAGAAATAAACTAAGATAGGGTTTATTTTAATTTGGTTTATAGGCTACCTTAAGGGGCATGCCCCTATAATTAATTACATATCTTAAGAGAATACTCTTGATTAAAGTGAAGACTAAAGATTTTCAAAGACATATGGATCTAAATAAATGTTTGGGCTAATAAGATTTAATGTATAAGTTTAGATTATAAATTTTCTCATTATCATTTGAATTTAAATTTTAGGTTTTTAATTTTAAAAGAATTAAATATGAATGTGCAAAGACTAAAGAGGTGTTAAAAATTTGGACTTATACTTACTTGGAGTGAGTTGCTAGCTAATAATCCTAATACACAGTTAATCACCTTAGATGTAATGCATGATAGACTAAGCTCTATCTAAACAGATCAAAGGATAAATTAGACTCTAAAATTTATGACTCAAGATGAGAAATTTATCGTTAAGTTCAAATGAAACTAATAAGAAGATTCACTAAGAACTCCAAATTTTATCTTATTTAATTTACCTAACTAAATTTTCTTACTAACAATATTTCTTAAAATTTTAGCAGAATAATGGCCCTATACTAAAAGAAAAAGCATAGCATCCTCTGAGTGTATTGAGAACTCCACTGCCTTGCCCGGGTTAGGTATAAGTATTTTGGCTTAATTTATGTTGTAGAAAAATAAATGCATATGTGTATGTAGTGGCGGAGCCATAAAATGTATTTAGC